ACTGTACCATAACTACTTTCTTTTTTCAAAACTAAATCATGCCCCAGTCGGAAGTAATTTTGCATGAAGAACATTCTTAAAAACACTCCCAATATAGGCAACCTCAATGCGTGTTACTTCTGCCTGACTGTTGAGTTGAATGGCCTCGAAATGTTACTGGGAATTTGACCGTGACCACAACTCTTTATCAAAGGACCCATGGCCTAGACTGTGAAGCAAGGTAACCGCAAACATTGTTCCTGACTGAATACCTCTGTTATTGAATTTCTAACTTTGGAAAGACACTGAGCATATGTTCGAAGGAAGTATCTCGGCGACCAACACTGGAAATAACGTATGTTCAACTCAGTGGTGCAAATTCGCTTGTTATTTCTTGATCTCGCGGGGGCATTTCTCCTTGACAACGACACGAGATGTTAATTTCACGCATAGATACCATGGATATTGACCATGGAAAAACACATATCTTCACGTATGCTGGCATCAGGCTTCAGAGAAAACAGGGCCGTATTTGATCGAGAAACCAGTCATACCGTATTGACTTAATGGACAGTCTGTTATGTCGATCATTAAAAAATCTTGGTTGACAATCGTGCTGAAATTAAAAAAGATCGTACCGACATATGGACAATTATGCAAGGGAGGGTCATTAAGAAGAAAAAGAAAACACAAGAAATGAAAATACAACATTGTATCGTTCCAGTATTTACACATGCCACACGTAGGAAACGCATAAACTACATAACTGAGCAAATAGATCGGCTGAAACTTGGCGACACCAAGATCAAAGTTACACGCTATCAACTTTGATACGTATGCCCTTGTTTCTACTGCACACTAATCCATACTCGTGCATATCGTCCGATATCAAGTGTAGTTGCTCGTTTTCTTTCTATCATACTACTTTAAAGTATGATTTGTATTTCTTTCATAAATATACAGAACGCAAAATTCACATTACGTCGCTAGATGGCGCTATAGCAAAACGGCTCTGGTCCCCCTACCATTTTACCTCCATGCCCCGACACACTCAGTGACTGCCCGAATAACTATCCATGGTGATACTTCGTAATGTTACTACGTGTAGTTTATAATGCATAAAGTGAGATTTTATTGTAATATAGAATCCAATTTGTTCCACCCACACTGAAAAACAGCATAGAGAAATCTTACATTGTGTTTGGAATTCAATACAGTTTTCTAATATCCATTGACGTTACCACGTGTTCCCCACGTACGGTATTTTGGGTGGCGTTTTAGACACAGTCGTAAGTTGCGGGACGTAAATTGAAAAACGTTGTAGCGGCGGTACGAATGAAATGTGTTATTGTTCCGTCACGATCTTAACTACATGATACTACTTTAACTCAATGTTATCCACATGGGGATGCGATAATTACATATAGCTAGCTAAAAACCGGACCACCAGCGATCAAGAAAACAGGGAAGGGCTACCCATGGCATGTCAGCCTGAGCTCCCGGCTTTCAATTCAAACATTTACAAAATCCGTGAAATTGCCCTTTCGCAACAAGGAGCTTTGCAATATTTAACGAACCATCTAAAATGCTGTATCCGAACTTCGACCACACGGAATCACACAGTGATAGTAATTAGTATTAACATTTCGTCTGCGAGGTGATGAAACGAGGTGACAATCTGAGTTGTCGCCGCCCTTTCTCTCCTTCTTTAAAACGTAGACTATGTTTCGATTAACATAACTTTCTAAATAAAAACGCCGAACTTAGAACATAAATCAAGCAAACAAAATAAGAAGGCGTAAAGAAGACGTACGTATTACGATAGTATATCACGAGGTACTAGTAATTGTGTACAGGCTATTGTGGTATAAATTGATTGTTGTGAACACTTTCCGAAGGAATGATCCATAGTGGATAAATCAGTTTGTTGTTGTGATAGGTCGATTTGTTGTATCTCAGGTGATATTATATTATATATAGTTATTCTCGTTTTGATAATAAATTCATTATAACAACGTTTATGCGAATTATGCGAGTTATTTCTATTCTATTTTATTTTTTATTCAACCGACCCCCATGTACTACTGCATACGGCTTCGTTATCAGGTGGGTTTTATTTTCCATTTTCGCTGACAGCTAAATTGCAATCCAGTGGATATACAAAATTAACATCGGAATGTATTGTTTCTACCGCAAACCAGTGCATTAAAAGCCCGGTGAACATCTAATCTATCGTACTAAACTATGACACAATGAATATTCTCCTTTTACACAGTATTGCTTTGAATTGAGGATTCGAGTTATTGTTTTCTTTTTAAAACGATGTTTTTTGGAGTATTGTGAACAGACTCATTGTGCAACGGGACATCCTGTCCCCGGAGAGCCCGGCAAAGACAACAACAACAAAACTTTATTTCACCACCGTCCCTCATTGAGGGACGGTGATTTCACGAACAGTTAATATTTCACCAACGTGCTTCGTACGCGACCGTAGCAGACGACAACATTTTTTAAAAACCGAATATCATTATTGCTTCAAAGAAAAAATAACTTGCAACTTACCGTTCAAAATAAAGCTTCGAGAATGGAAAACGTTCAATGTTTTCTCTTTTTTTTGGTGTGGATACTTATTATGGACCGGCACTGTAGAGCGAACTGTTTACTGTCACTACTTCCACTTGAAGAAAACTTGTCAATGTGAGGTCACACCACTCAAAACATGAACCGGAAGAGCACGTTGGCATTGTGGGAAAGGGAATTTCATTCCAAGATGGCGTTGCACAGGTAAGTTTCTTCCTGTTTTGTTCCAGTAAATTCCACCGGTGCTTTTATATGGACACTCCCAGTAAAACTTAAATTTATTGTGTCCGATATGACCCACATATGCCTGGTAATACATCTACTTGTATTTGTACGAGTAGCTGTCGCGATCAGAACCGACATTCAGCATGTCCGGTCCTTGTTTTGATGTAAAGTAAAATGCCACTGACACAATGTAAATAGTCCAACCCGGTCGTTGAATCATGCCGTAGTTGAATAGAGATGTGTAATCAACTGTGTTTCTACAAACGAGTGACTGTCTGTGTAGAAATAAAACCCGCTTGTCCTAGTTGATTTTTTGTTTTCATTTATTTCAAAACTGAAAAGTAAAAATAATGTAATTTTATTTACATTTTCTTGGCTGTTAGAACTTAGAAGAATGAAGGAAATGAAATAAAAATTTGTGGTCACGTACTCTGCTCGGAGAGAATCGATGTACAAAATGCTTTTGGACATTTCACCATTGTTTGCTATTGCAAGGCTTTATCTCAAAATGACATGGGAAAAAATGATATAAGTGTTTCTATATAGAGGGACTGTGATAATGTATTTGTTCACATCTAGAAGTATTGACAAATGTACATTAATTTTTTTTTTTTTTAAATAATAAAAGGTGTTTTCATAGTGGTCTATGGGAACTGCTGCAAACTTGTATGCGTATTATTTGAGTTTTTTCTCAAAAAACAGATTGTCAGTAAAAAAAAAAGTCAACACACAGTTGACTAATACTGAAAATGACAGATTTGATCTCAAAATTATGTTACTGCTATATGTACTAAAAAATGTGAACATGCCAAAAAAACACATGTGTAGTAATTTGTGTATTATTTACTATAATTTAACGGGTTTGGAGGAGGGTCTGAAATCTTGCGTTCACTTACAGAGACTAGTTACAATATCTGGATCATTGAATACAAATTATAGACGATACTGTATAATTTGTCCATTGTGTAAAAATGCAATAGAGGCTGAAGCATATTTTCTAATAGTTTGTCCAGTATTGTTTTCAGAGTGATACAGTAGCCCATATTTGATAAAGTCAATGTTTATTGAACCAAGTTTTCAGTCACCAATATTGATGCAACAACTCCCTTGGTTGCATTTTTAGCTCCGCTGTCGACTTGGTCAAGCGGAGCTTATCATATGAGTGATTGTCCGTCGTCGTCCGTGTCAATGTTTTACTTTTTCGACTTCTTCTTGAAAACTACAAGCCTGAATGCTTTGATACTTGGTGTATATGTACCTATGTAGACTTCTCTCAGATTTGTTCATTTCATGATGATATCTTCAATTCTCTAATTTTGGTGAATATTTTTGTCATTTTTGGTAAAAAGTGATATTTTCGACTTCTCGTTGAAAACCGCAAGTCCAATTGCTTTGATATTACATATATAGGTACTACATGTGGACCTCTTTCAGATTTGTTCATTTTGTAATGATATCTTTAATTCTCTAATTTTGGTGAATGTTTTTGTCATTTTTGGTAAAAAGTGATATTTTCGACTTCTTGTTAAAAACCTCAAGTCCAATTGCTTTGATATTACATAAATAGGTACTACATGTGGTTCTAACTCAGATTTGATCATTTCATGATGATATCTTTAATTCTCTAATTTTGATGAATATTTTTGTAATTTTTGGTAAAAAGTGATATTTTCCACATCTTGTTGAAAACCGCAAGTCTGATCGTTTTGATATTATACATATTGTTCATTTTCTAATGATATCTTCAGTTCTTTAATTGAAATGTGCATTGCTAACAGCGGAGCTATCTCAGCCGAGAGGCTGTTTGTTATAAATATTTATAAATTTTACAATTTTAACTGAAACGAGAGGTCTTGTTTTGGTCGAAGGAATAACATTGGACAATTTTAAATTACATCATTTCCCTTGTTGACTGGCTTGTTGGATTTACCAAAGCTACCATCAAAATTTATAAATATTTATAAAAATGAAGGGAATGGGTTTGTTTTTCTTGGGTTATATAATTTTGTTATGAGGCTTGCAGCCCCTAATGGTATTAAACAATCATGTCTTTATGATCAGCAAATGTTTTATGTTTTCATCCATGCAAATGGTAATTGATGTTTAGCATTTTACACCAACAGAGTCCACTATTTTTTTTTTTCTTTTTATCCTTTAGATGAATTTGTACTTACTTACTTACTAAATGCAACTGCATCTCTGAGGCACACATCGTCATGGCAACAAGGAATCGAAGAAACAGTGAAAATTCTGATTGCAGCTTAGAGACATCTATAGACTCGGATGAGTTTTTATTCCGAGAGTGCTCACATTCCATTCTCTTGTTGATGGGCCTGAATAACTTAAGGACAGAGTATGCGTTTTGTGATGTCACTCTCTGTGTGGATGGCCAGGAGTTCCTGTGTCACAGAGTAGTCTTGGCTTCCTTCAGTCCTTACTTCAAGGCAATGTTTTCTGGAGAGTTGGCTGAGAGTAAACAAGAAAAAGTTTCAATCAATGGCGTGGAGGCATCCATGATTGAGATGCTTATCAAGTATGCGTATACATCTGAGATTTGGATCACAAAAACAAACGTGCAGTCATTGTTGTCAGCTGCGAATCTCTTAGAGATACTTCCCGTTAGAGATGCTTGCTGTCGTTTCATGGAGAAACACATGGACGCCTCTAACAGTATCGGCATCCATTGCTTTGCCGAGGCTCACTCTTGTACCGAACTTCAAGAGAAATCCAAGGTTCACGTGCTGGAAAATTTCACTGATGTGATAAAGCATGAGGAATTTGTAAAACTTTCGCACAGCAAACTCGTAGAGTTCATTAGCAACGATGAGTTGAATATCAAACAGGAGGAATGTGTGTTCGATGCCATCATGGCCTGGTTCAATGCAAATCCTGAGAATCGTAGACAGTATTTTGAAGAAGTTTTCACTCATATTCGTCTTCCATTAGTAAGTGCCTACTTTCTGCATGATTTTGTGGAGGTGCAGTCTGCTGTCAGACAGTCTGAAGTCTGCAGAAAGCTTGTGGATGAGGCGAAAAATTACCAGTTACTTCAAGACAGACGAGGTCAGCTTTACAGTCCTAGGACAAGACCCCGAAGGTCAACAGGTAACTTTTCTGTCCTATGTACCATACATACAATATCCCTTGACTAAATGTGCATACTGTAGAATACTTTATTTTCGCTTGAAATTTATTTTCGCTATTTTGGGAATGCTTAGTCAAAATAGAATCCAGCGAATATACTTTTTTTCCTATGTCTCGCATTCAACTCATCAACAATCAGTGAAAATAAATTCCATACAAAAAACCCAAAAGCTTTTTCAGCAAAAATTAATTCCAGCTAAAATAAAGTATTTTACAGTAATATATAATACAATGTATCATATATGTACAGAGTGAATTGTGCCCTTAGAAAGTACCAGGATGTGTGATCTATCAGGGTCATGAATTAGTACCAGGATTAGTGACCTATCAGGGTCATGAATAAGTACCAGGATGTGTGACCTATCAGGGTCATGAATAGGTACCAGGATGTGTGACCTATCAGGGTCATGAATAGGTACCAGGATGTGCAACCTTTTGAAGTCTTGTGATGATTAATCAATGAGAAAACAGAAGTAATTCAGATAATCAGTCTGAATAATCTTTTGAGCTGCCTGATCATGCAAGTACTACAGATACTGCTAAACACCTTGTATATTACTCCTGCAATCAGCAATCTGATTTCATATGCAAATTTTGTTTATGCTGAATTCTTGTTATTTATGTGTACAAAACAATAAATTGTAAAACCAGAAAAATTATTTGAACTACATTTTTCCACTGACTGACATGGTTGCACTCTAGCCCAACTTCTTTTCAAACATACCATACATAAATACATAAATTACAGTGACAAGACCCATATTTAGAAGTTTTGGCTTGAATAGTCATTATTAGTAAAATTACATTGTGAACGAAATAACTAATCTGCTTCTGTTTTAGAATGATGGTACTGAGAGGCTCATCGCTGTTTATTTTTCTTGATAAAAATTTGTCTTCAATGCTTGTTAAGTGCTGTTTCATTTCTAGTGAATATTCACACTATAGTATCTGTTAATTTTTTTGCATTTGAGCATGAAACTAAGGTGTGGGCGTAGATAGGATTTTAACTTTCTTCTGCTTTATAGGTTATAATAAACAACCATCTACATTGTATTGCTATGCATTTATTGAAGGGATCTTTGAGACCTTGGATAGTTCATAGATGCTATGTTTGATAGTGATGTTCCAGTCAAGTAAAGTCTCTGAAAATCTATGGTGTTTTCTACAAGGGGTTATAACAGGATGCATCGCCCTATTATCTGAAATTAGCACCTTGTTTAAATCGTCAGCACCCTGTTATATTTCCTGTGCATACTGGTCCCAGACAAAAATTGTTAACAATACAATACCATGGAGCTATCTCTATGACAATACAGACCATCACGCATTGTGTTCCTCGATGACATGCTAAGTATGACTTCACACATGCCACAGGAAATGATGGGTACTGTATCTGGTTCATTGTTTTAAGGTATAACTGTGAAAATTCCAACATTGTTATTGTAGCAGGTGATGACACCACCAGACAAAAAGTAGTTGCAAAGTTTTTACACAATTACAAATTAACACATTGTCAAGAAAAGTGTATTACCTGTATTTTCACTGTCACTGTGGAGTCAAATATATAAAAGTGGTATCAGTAAAACCATTCGTTAAAACCAAGCAACATCATCAGTGAAAACAAAGGCAACCACTTGCATGAGCACATTAAAAGTCCAAGGCTGAAACAATAATAACAATTATAACTATTGTAAATGAGAAATTTAATTTATAAAAATTATATCAACTGTATTTACAGTGATGACTGTATTACGAGATAATAATAAATATGTAATATGCTTATGTAATTAGACAATAGATTTCTTGATTTTCAGTATTTCAACATCATGCCAAAGATCCACAACCATGTTACAATATCAATAACCACACTCATTGACAGATGCCCTGCCAAATGTCGTGTCAAATCATGTTTAGTTGTCAAATCGTGGAGAACCCTGACCTGGGCTTTATGTATTTCATGAGGGTTTTTTTATTTTTTTTTATTCAGGAACAATAGAAGTGATAGTGGCTGTTGGCGGTGAAGATGACAAAGTAGTGTTGAGGAGTGTTGAAAGTTATGATCCGCAGAAAGACCAGTGGAAAACCTTGGCCTGCTTACCATTTGCAGTCAGTAAACATGGACTTGTTGTCTCTGGTAAACAGCTTATATTTGACAACTTATTATGTGTACATTCATATACTGTAAAATGCTTAATTTTCGCTTGGAAATAATTTTTACTATTTTCGCAAAAGGAATGATTCAGTGAAAATCGCCATTTTGTTTATTATTATCAAATTACACAATTGCTTAAGCACAATGCAATTTGCTAGATGTCTGTACATGCATGTTTTTTGGTGGGGGGTGCAACTTTTGAATGGCTTTTAATATAAGTTACTTTTTTATGAATTATTTCACAATTACATTAATTATAAAGAAAAAATATACATCCATTAATTTTATGGATTACTGGTACTTTTTGTATATTGTTTCAAAATGAACAAAAATTATAGAAAAGTGCACAAAAATGTGGGAAAATGGTACTGGCCTGTCAGGTAGATTACCATAACATCATAGCCTAAGTTATTAAAATTATTATTGAAATATTATCCACATTATTATTTTCAAACCACAATAAAAACATAAGCACCTAATGTTTTCACGCCTCACTGTGGATTCTCACTCTATTCAGTAGTGCTTATTCAAAGTTCTTATTTATTTATTTTTTTGCTTATAGGAAATAATTTCATGTACATGTCTGGTGGTGAATTCCCTGATGGTTCTGCCAGTAAGGATGTCTGGAGATATGACCCATCGTTTGACCATTGGTTAGAAATGGCACCAATGAATGTTCCAAGATCAGAACTGGGTAGGTTAACTCTGTTTGTCCCAAATATGCCAGTTCAATGTAACAGTTTAGATTGTACTTTTGATATCATGGCTGACTATCACAAAATTTGCCAATGTCTTAGTATGTTGGTGTTTCTGAACAATATTTCTTGAATTATTATAAAGAATTATATTAATTTGAATATTTCTGGTAGTTTTAGGTGTCAGGTAAAATTTATGTGTGATATACAATTATTTGTATATGTGATGTGTTGACTCAGGGACACACAAAACATCAAAGAAATCAGAGAGCTTCAAGTTTAACTTCTTGTTTATTCCACCATTTTCGGTTACACCAACGGCACGACCTTTTTTCATATCAATACACTTGGATGATCAGTTGACATATAACACCATTACAAAAGTATGTATTCTGACGCATGCAATAAAGTAGTCCCAAAAACGTCACACTAAATTATAGTTGTCCATTCAATTTTTCTCAACATCAACTTCTCCATGCACAGAACTTTGTATTACCTATGTGTAGTGGCAAATTTTCACAGACTATGAAAAGGACACGGTTTGAATTGACTCCACAAATTAGTGATTACTGTAGAATACTTTATTTTTGCTGAAGGATGATCCAGCGAATATACTTTTTTTCCTATATTTAAATTAAACTCATCAAAAATCAGTGAAAATAAATTCCATACAAAACGCTCAAAAAGCCTTTTCAGCGAAAATTAATTCAAGCGAAAATAAAGTATTCCACAGTATGTTACCAAAATAAAATATAAATATAATAAATAAAATATCCAATTCATCACCCTAAGATATTAGATTTTTTAAACTTTTGTAGTACCATATTTGTTTTTATTTGCTCTTCGCCAAAGACTCAGAATAAACGAACATACTAAAGTATGTTTCTTTTTGAAAATCACATTTTACCTTTTACATTATATTTATATTTGCATAAAACTATGTTTTTATTTGTTTTGTTCCAAAAAAGTTAATTTTGGATTATTCACATAAAAGAATATTAACTGAGTGTCGTTTATTGAAATCAACAATTCAGTATTTTCTCCGAATATTTTTTTTGTCTTTTTCAATAATAATCATACATCGATAGTATCGATTTCAAATTTGTTAAATAAATTACTAATTTTTGTCATTGAAGCAAATTACTTTCCATCTAAAAACAATATCCAATATCTGAAACACTCCATATTAGCTATATATGTATAAGAAACATGTGAAAAAATTTCTGACTTTTGACGATCAGAAAGGTCAGAAAATGCTGATTTACATATTTACATAACCAATCTGTTTATGTCATTCATTACGCTTGGTCTGTTTTGATAGCAATTAAAAACAATGGAATCGATAGATTAATGTTCTGAAAAAAGTTAAATGTACAGACAGATGTGTGGGGTATTCCACAAGGTATTGTGTAATGATGGATAACATCATTAATTATGCAAATGGTATGCAAATGTATAAATTAGGTTTCTAATTTTATAATGTGAGATTGTATATCGCTAATTGTACACAATAAAGAGAACTGAATGTATATTTGGAAAAGTAGAAAAAGTAAATTTTGACCAAACGAACATCCTCACTAAACCTGACACTGTCACACATTGCACATATTGACAATTTCAACACCATCGTGTTTTGTTTATTTGCAAGCTACACTAAAAATGTAAATCACTGTTATGTGCTTGAAACTTGTACATATCTAGATTCATGTACTTGACATACAGTTGACCTAATGGGAAAGGCATAGGATTGGTATTCTGAGCGTAATTTGATGAGAGCTTTTTAGCTCCGCTGTCGACTTTGTCGAGCGGTGCTTATCATATGAGTGATTGTCCGTCTCCGTCGTCGTCGTCTGTGTCAATGTTTTACTTTTTCGACTTCTTCTTGAAAACTACAAGCCTGAATGCTTTCATACTTGGTGTATATGTACCTTTGGTAGACCTCTCTCAGATTTGTTCATTTCATGATGATATCTTCAATTCTCTAATTTTGGTGAATATTTTTGGTAAAAAGTGATATTTTCCAATTGCTTTGATAATACATATATAGGTACTACATGTGGACCTCTCTCAGATTTGTTCATTTTCTAATGATATCTTCTGCTCTTTAATTGCCATGTGCATTGCTAACAGCGGAGCTATCTCAGCTGACAGGCTGCTTGTTTAACTGACGGTACATAAGATTGTAAAATGAATCACAGTCGCTTTGCACGTACACATATAAATCGTTTGTTGTTTTTGTATCATTATTTGGTGGCAAGCTGAGCTCTCTGGAAATCACCACCTTGAAACATCTTCAGATACCGCCAAGGTGACATTGTCATATGGTTTATTCAAAACCAGATACACAAGTTTGAAGGGTTTGACTTCAGGATGTACTGGACACCCATTCATATTAAGCCATAGTCACTTTCTCTTGTATACATGTATATTTCGGTATATACCCTTGGTTCAATCTATAGTGCTGACCTTGATACTTAGCGTGCGTACCAGGATCAAATGCATGGCTTCCCTTTCTAATTAATACATCTGCAGGGCTAATTAAGGTAGAGATGCACTTTATTTGTGAATTTCAATCAAAAATAATTTTTTTCGTTTTTTATATAGATTTTTATCTAAAGA